GTAGAAACCCCTTTGCCTGGATCATTTATGCTGTCATTCTGTGAAACACAGTAAGTGCCAGTACATGTGTGCTGTGGTGTACTGTAAGTGCTCAGTTAATTCTTCCAGCTTGAGCTGGTGGTGGTGATGCACACCTGCAGTCCTAGTACTTGAGAGGCTGAGGCAGGAAGATCGCCATGAGCTGGAGGCCAGCCTGGACTGCACTGAGTTCAAGACCAGACTGAGCTACACAGGGAGACCCCACCTTCAAAAGCGAAAAAAACCTCCTTCTTAGTTACCCTGAAACACCTTTTAGTATACGTGCTGCTCAAGCGAGCATATGCCTGCCATATTTTAGAGGCCAGGTGTGGTGATAGACACCTATAAGCCCAGCACTTGGGAGGCTGAGGCAGGAACATCTCTGAGAATTCAAGGCTAGCCTAAACTACATAGCAAGGTTCCCCCTCAAAGTGTGTCTTACAAACAGCCCATTCTTTTGGTGACATTGCACCTGCAGGAGGAACTAAAAACTCTACAGAACATCATTAAGAAGCTGGAGCAGGAAGCAGAAGAGCAGAAGGCCCGCTGGACCGGCGAGCAGCTTCAGTGAGTGCGGGCTGGGGAGCTGCCTGGGACGCCCGGCAGGCAGTGCATTCTGGAGTGTGTCTCAAGCACTTGCTGTGAGGGGCCTGAGGAAGGGTTAGGCCGAGAGGCCCCCTGGATGTGCAGGCGTCCCTACCGGCTCTCAGCCTCTCATATCTCTCTTCTCTGCAGACTGAAAAAACAGAACCAGAAGATGCACTCTGAAAATGAGCGGCTGGAAACCAGAGTGACAGAGCTGCAGGTGGGTGACACCATGTCTTTGCCCCTCTCTGAGCTGGCTCTGAGATAACCCACTTCAGTGCCAACCGCATGCCCCACGTGCTAGAGCTCAGACCGAAGCTTCCGGCTGTATTTTCCCGTGTGTGCCAGGGGCTCCTCACACACTGCTTGGTTTGGTTTGGGAATCAATCTTAGGATCTGGTGCTAGCTAGCCAGGTGCTGTGCCGCTGAGCTGAATCCCTGGCCCTGGTTTTTTGGTTTTTGTCTTCAGTTTTTTTGGAGATAGGTTCTCACCGTGTAGCCCAGGCTGGCCTGGAACTCACAGTGGCCTTCCTGCTCCAGCCTCCTGGGTGCTGGGACAACGACAGGCATGCACTGCCGCGCCTGGCTAGGTTCCTTCTCTTCTGTCTCTGGTAATTCACTGTTTTCACTTCAGTCCCAGCTCTTAAGTCAAGAGAAAGAAATGGAGGAGCTCATCCGGGGAGACCAAGAAAAGACAGAGCAATTGCAACATCTGAAAATTGGAAACGACCAGCTTTGTCTCAGTTTAACTGAACAGGTAGTCATGGGGGAAATGTAATGTTCTTGGAACTTCCCAAGACCTCCGTTGTGGCCGGGGAGATAGCCCCGTGGAATAAGCGCGTGCCTGGCAAGTGCAAGGCCCTGAGTTCAGTCCCCGGTACCACACACACACACACACACACACACACACACACGTCCTCCGTTGTTCAGCTCCTCGCAGACCGGGGCACCCGGGTGAAGTCTCAGAGGGAGCGATCCCTGCAAGGTGGGCTCGGCTGGGACTGCCGTTCCCCAGCACGTGTGTGCGTGTGGGTGCGTGTGCATGGTGTGTGCATGTGTGCACTTGCCCAGCAGTGACCCTAGGGCCTTTGCTTCTGTGCAGAGGGAGCAGCAGAGGAAGCTGGAGCAGATGGTGGAGGAGATAAAGCTGAGAGAAGCCGCTGCTGTGAAGACCCAGGCAGACCTGATGGCACGTTTGCGTTTGTGCAGCTTCGTGGGCGGGACCTGAAGTGGGCGAGGGAGAGAGGGGAGATGGCCTCGTCTGCTCCCCGGGTGTTTTGCTGTATCCCCAGAGGACAGGGAACCCATGGAAGGTGCTCGGAGGGGCGGGGGGCAGGCAGACAGCCGTGGACGTCTGGGCCAGACATCGCACACAGCCGGTTCCCTCCCACGGCGTCTGCGTGGCTGTGAAGAGCGCTGTAGCTGGGTATTAACTGTCCTCAAAGAAAATTCTGTTCTCATTAACATATCCGCACTTAGCTAGCTACAGTGATACATAGTAAGGAGACCCTAACTGACTTACAATTTCCCACAATATATTGTTAAAAAGAGGCCATGTGATGCTGATAGGCGTTTGCAAGCCCTCTGCTGTGCATTGAAGCAAGACGAGAAACCCTGCAGAGGGCAGCGCAGCAGGATTGGCGCGCAGCGCGATCCCCATGAGGCTGCCACCCGCTGGCCGTGAAAGGTTGCGCCTGCGCTGAGGAGCGCCTGAGCAGCCGCACCCTGCGGAGATGCGGGCTTCTGGGGCTCCAGCGATCGATTGATCAATCGATCTTGGGGTTTACACACCAGCATCTCGTGGGTCACGTGTAGCCCCTGAGAGGTTTTCTTTGACCTACATTGTGCTTTTCTAAGAAACTTAAGTTAGTGGCTAACACTTGAAGTGTGTAACTGTGTCCCTAGCCTCTTGTGAAAGGTTAAAGGCGCCGTGAGCCCCGAGCCTGCATTCCAGCCCAAGGGGGGCGGGGGGGTGAGGGCAGCTGCAGCCTCCTGGAGCCCTCACCCTGACCCTGAGCGACGTCCCCAGCCGCGGCCGCTCTTTCTGCCCGCATCCAGCTCACTGACTGCTTGGGTTTGTTCCCTCTGACGTTGCAAAGAAAGTAGGGCTTGGTTTGGTTTTGTGGTCCTGGGAATAAAACAACCTTGCACATGCCTGGCAGGCACTGTGCCACTAAGCTATGTCCCTAGCCCAGAAAGTAGGGTTTTTTGTTTTGTTTTGTTTCTTGCGGAGCCAGGGATTGAACTCATGCCCTTGTGCTTGCCAGGCAAGTACTTATTCTACTGAGCTATCTCTCCAGCCCCCAGAAAGTAGTTTTAATGTGTAGCCAGCTAAAGGTTTGCCCTCCTTGGGACGGGCCTGGGTTTCCTTGCTCTTCCTTCTCTGTCATCCTTTTCCCGAGTGCCTAGTGCAGCACCCACCGCGCTGGGAGCACACCTCACTTCCCCTTCGCTCCGTTCTGCGGGCCAGTCTCCAGGCCCCTCCCCGGAGCCCTGGTGAGCAGCAGCTCTCGGCCTCTAACCACGAGGCCTGCATGTCTCACACTTGGTCCAGGAGCCTAGGAGGGAGAAGGCCGCAGTGGAGGTGCAGTTAGCGCAAGAGGTGGCGCGGCTGAAGGCCCAGGTAGAGGCAGGCAAAGCCTGCTTCCTAGAGAAGTACAAGGAGTGCCGCCGGCTCCACAAACAGATCAGGCAGCTGCGGGCTGCCGCGCCGGTAGGTACGGCAAGCCTGGAGGGCAGGGGGGCCTGTGGTGCTGAGACCCAGCCCCAAGACCACTCTGGGGGTCCCCGAAAGTCCAGCCCTAGGACCCACAGGCCCAAGGAAAGAATGGACACTGGCAGGTCTGTGCAGATTCAGCCCTGTTATTTCTGCTTTATGAGGACGAGAAGGTGGCGCAGGAGCAGAGGAGGCAGCAGGAGCCGGCCGGCAGCGCAGGCCTCGAGTAGCTCCTGCCCGTGTCGCTGCCAGGAGGTCCGCTGGCGGCGCGCAGTGGCTTGTGCTCGGCATTCAGTAAAAGCTCCTGGAACCAAATCTCACCTAGTAGGAGTAGCTTTAAGTGTGTGCACATGCAGGTAGGCAGGGGGGACACGCCCCTCATCCTGGGGCATTGCAGACCTCTGGGGGGTTCCCCAGAGCCCCTTTGACCTCAGTGGAACCTGGAAGGGGCTGCACCATTTAAGCATGAGAGCCAAGGGAGGTGTTTACTTCGAACTGGAGGGCTTCAGGGCTGGGTGGGGTTGAGCAAGCCTCCATCCACCCCACGGCACTCTGAAGGGGTTCCCCAAACTCGTCCTCTCTGTCTGCCTTTGGTCCCCTCTTACAGCTAAGCATCAACAAAACTGCACTCGAAGCCAGGCCAGGCCTCTGGGCACTTGGTGGGGTCGCTTGTCTGTGAGCAGCACCCCGTCTCTGGCGCCAGCCTGGTTCTCCCCCGCACCCAAGACCCCTCTTTGAAGGCCGAATCCTGCCGGCCCCCTCCTGGGCCCAGAGTGGCTGATGCTAATTCTGCATTTTCACTGTTGGCAGGATGAGAACTTGGACCTGTCCCGGCGCCTAGGGGAGAACAAGCTCCTGTGTGACCATCTGCAGGGGGAGAGAGCGCGCGTGGAAAGAGACAATGACGTGAGTGTGCGGAGAAGTCCGCCCGGACCAGAAGGGCACACAGTGGGAGGTCACATGAAAGGGCCCTTGTGGGGGTGAACAAAGCCCCCCAAATAGTTATCTTTTTTTTTTCTTTTCAGTACCAGGGTACTCATGACCTTTGGCTCACCAGGCAGGCGCTTAGGCAGCTGAGCTATCTCCCTGGCAAGCCCCCCAAATGGACTCTGCTCATCCACTTAAAACCCTCCTTGGGGGCTGGGGAGACAGCTCAGCAGCATAAGCGCCTGCCTGGCAAGCATAAGGTCCTGAGTTTGATCCCCCGTACTGTAAAAAAAAAAAAAAAAAAAAATCCCTCCCAGGGCTCCATGCCCTAGACTGGATTAGCAGTGGTTAAAGCCACAGCCTGTGGTGAAAACGTCACTTCCTGCTGTGACGTCACAGCTGCTATAGTCTCATCTAGGTCTGGGGGTTCCTGCCATGTGTCCCAGCCAGCTCTGGACCCCTCTCCTTCAGCACAACCTTTTCCTTTTCCTCTGCTGCCAAACCAGGAGCAGAAGTGTGGTCTGCCCAGGTGCTGGATGCGTGCGCGGCCCCCAGAGAGCTGTGCGTCCCTGGCTCACCCTCTCATTCAGCTGTCACTTCGTCCACCAGCGTGTCATTGGCAGTGTGTTCGCAGAGTCAGGATGGCTGGCTGGCTAACGTTGCTGCAGCACAAAAAGCGACTGCCCTTAAAGTCCTCTTGATGGAGCCGGGGACTTAGCTCAGTAGAATAAGCGCTTGCCTGGCAAGCGCAAGGGCCTGAGTTCAATCCCTGGTTCCACCAAAGGAAAAAGTCGTCTTGAGCCACCATCAGAGAACCAGGTGTCCCTGCTCACTGCCATTCCATCTGTCCCCTCAGTGTCCTCCGCTCTGTCCTTTTTGTAGCCGTGTCTATGTCTCTGAGTGATCATGTCACCTTTTTTTAAATTGTGATTTTAAACAAAGAAATCCACATAAAATTTATAATTTAAAGTGCACAGTTCAGCCAAAACACGGTGGCACACACCTGTACTCCCAGCACTCCGGAGGCTGAAGTAGGAGAGCTGTTTTTTTGGTTTGGTTTGGTTTAGCAGGAGGGTTGTTGTGTATGAGGCCAGTCTGGCTATGGAGTGAGCTCAAGGCCAACCGGATCTGCATAGCAAAGCTGTCCCAGACAACAAAACACAAACTCCCACCAGTACACTCCTGCTGCCCCCCTGTGTCGACAGCACTTGCGCACTCTTGTGTACTCCGTTAGCTGGGGGAGTTTAGAGATTTAAACTAATTTTTGCCTTTTGAGATAGGGTCTTACTATATAGCTCAGGCTGACCTCAAACTGATGGTGATCCTCCTGCCTCAGCCTCCTGAGTGCTGTGATTGTAGGCCTGTACCACCATACATGTCTAAAATTCTTTTTTGTGCTAATGTGGACAAAATTCAGCAAAAATACTTAACTTTAAGTGTGGAGAGCTCAGATCTTGCCAGGTGTGACTACGCGCTGCGTAGCAAGACCCTTTCTCAAAAAGATGCATGCAAGGGCGGGGGAGAGAGCTCGGTGGTGTGAGCGCCTGCTGGCAATTGCAAGGTCCTGAGTTCAGTCCCAGGACTACCATAAATAAATAAATAAAGTTAATAGTTAAAAAATTAAGAGTCATAAAGACACATACACACACAAAAAAAAAGAACTCAGATCTTCCGACTGTTAGAATAATGCTTCCGCTTTTGAGGAATTATGGATTGTCACTTGCTGGGTGTCACAATGTCACACTGTTGCTGTCCCTAGCCAGTTCCTGGTGACCGTTTGTTTTTGCATTCAGCACACCTATAAACCCTCTTCCCTCAGCACTTGAGGAAGGAGAACAGCAGGTTGATGAGCTACATGGGTCTGGACTTTGACTCTCTACCACACCAAGTGCCTGCCGCCCACCTGGAAGGCGCCGACCAGGAGCCGGGCCTCCTCTACGGAAACCCATACTCAGGTGAGCAGCTCTGCCGTCGCAGCCAAGGGCTCTGCCTGTGTCCCCTCCGCTCATTTTTTTCTTTTGCCCCAAGATGCTAATTAAGAGCAGTCTCATCGTTAGGATTGCTGGGCAGGAGCTGAGGATGCAGGAGAAAAATTGCCAGGCAAGCAGTGTTAATGCACAATAAATCTGAATCCAGAAGACGCAAATCAGCACCCACCCAAGGCGCAGGCGCAGATTGCGTCCCGTGGCCAGGGTCCAGATGCGTACAGCAGAGCGGTGTCGCTGTGTGCAGGAGACAGCGACAGGTGGGAACCCACGCCTCGCAGTGATAGCTCCCCAGCCAAGGTGGCGGACCAGAGGGGTGGACAGGTGACGTTTGTCCCTGTCACACAGGGAGCTCTTTGTCTCTGTCTCCAGAAGCCATGTGACGCATCCTTGGGAGCATCTGAAGAAACACTCTCCCTCTGGGGTTACAGCCAGGCCTGCAGCACCCGAAGGAAGAGGTTTATTTTCAATGTCAAAGTCTGCAGCACGCTGCATTCTCTTCCCCAGCCCTAGGGGGAGGGGAAGACTGTCCCACATGCTGTCTGGCTGAGGAGGGGGTCTGGCAGAGGGACCCCTGTGTCCCACACCAGTCAGTTGGGCAGAGATGGAGGCCCAGAAAGGAGACGTTGCCAGCAGCTGACGGCTCACGGGGCTCTGCACCTGCGGGGACCCCAATGCCTACTGGTGCTACCGCTTGCAGGAGCTGCCCCGCCGAGCTATGCAGCCCCTCTGAGGGGCCCTCCGAGGAGTCCCAGGTGTCCTCCCCAGAAGCCCAGCCAGAGGGCCTGAAGGTCCTGGTCCTGGCAGGCGGCCGGATTCCTTGCCCGGGGCTCTGGGTCTCATGAGTGAGTGGCATGGAGCAGGCACCAGATAAAGATGGCACAGCAGTAGATGGTCGCTAGCACAGCCCAGCCCTGGATCTGATGCCTAACACCACATCAAAGAAAAGGAGAGGGGCTGGTGAGCTGGCTCAGTGGTCTAAAGCACCTACTTAGAACAAGCTTAGCTAAAAGCATCAGGGACCGCGGTTCAATCCCCAGCACCACGTGCCAGCCAGCCCCGCCCCCTGGTGGGCTGAGCTGGCCACACACACACACACACACAAATATAAAATTAAAAAATAAAATAAAATACTTTTAAAAAAAGGGAAAAGAAGTGTGGACTCCAGCAAAACAGGCTCAGCTGAGGACCCCGTCCTGCTGCAGACAGCTGGCACGGCAGCGCTGTGCCAGCGCTTGACAGCCTTTGGAGACGCTCAAGTTTTGTTTTACTTTGTTTTGTTGTAAAGAGAAAAATAAAATGTCAAAACAAGGTGATAGAGTACCAAAGGTTAATACACTGTGTATTGTCATCTTTAAACTTGAGGACAAGGTATAGGCACTAAATTCTCTGGCACAAACCTTCCTTTTGGCCCAGGAGCTCGCTCAGCGGCATAAGCACCTGCCTGGCGAGCACAAGGCCCAGAGCTCAATCTTCAGTGCCAAAGATGAAGAAGCACCTTTCCTGTCAGTGAACTAAGAGGAGTTAGTAGTGTAGCCATCTTAACTATCGCGTATATATATATTTTTCATAAAGTTTCTTCTTTGCTCTGTAAATGTCACATTAGCAAGCAGAAAGGACAAAAGCAGCCGCAGAAAGTTTCAGTAATACCAGAAGAATTGACAGTTCCTGGGGGCCGGGGAGATGGCTCAGTAGAATAAGTGCTTCCCTGGCAAGTGCAAGGACCTGAGTTCAATCCCCGGTTCCACTAAATTAAATTAAATTAAAATTAAATAAAATAAATAGGGG